CATACATACATATATATATATATATATCAGGGGTGCCACAGAAACCTCCGGTGGTTTCGGCAACAGTTGTTTTTGAAAACCCGCTCGAACTTCCCCTCCAAGCCAACTGTCAGCAACGGCTAACTGTCTGCGCTAACATTTGACTGACTAATTCTGTAAAAATCCTGTAACGCACTCAGCTGTCAGCAACAGCTGACTGTCGACGAGTACCTTTGACCGACTAATTGTGTTTAAATTCGGTAACGTACTATGACAAATAGAAAACAAATATGCCATTTGCATTAATATTAGCCCGCGAGTATTTGCGAAAACGCCAATTAATTGTCGAAAATACAACACAAACTTTTAAGAAGCGCATCTGATAAAACAATGTTTCTTATTAAAATTTTAATTTATGTTACATTTTTTATAACATCATTTCGATTTTTTCGCAATTACTTCCATAAATTGGACGATCTATGTTTTGCAAAAATTAGAATTTGAAATTAAATTCAGAAATTACAAAAATGTACTTACATTTTGTTTCCCTGGTCCGTATTGTATATTCAAATGGCAGTTTATGACCATTCACATTTTCGCTAACAGATTTTCGCCATGTTTGTTTAATTAATACACAGTATAATTAATTAATAATTAATTAATTACTTAATTAATACAATTATTTGGAAAAGGAATTGCGTCAAATATATATTTTATTATACTCTGCACATAAAATGTACAAGAGTATATTAGGTTTGCGGGAGCTGAAAATGTAACAGGTAGAAGGAGGCGTGGCAGACCCCACAAAGTATACTTATATATTCTTGATCAGCGTGACAAGACGAGCGGATCTAGCCCTGTCTGTCTGTCTGTCCGTATGAACACCTGGATCTCAGAGACTTTAAGAGGTAGAGACACCAAACTTTGCACAAAGATGCGTTATGTGTGTACGCTGTGCAAGTTTTTTTTTTTTTTATTTCTTCCCGATTTTCCATTCGGTTAATCGCCAATATCTCGGAGACTATAAGACCTATGGACACCAAATTTTAGTCCAAGATGCCTTTTGTGAATACGCAGAAACATGCTTACACAGACACGAATAGACGCGCATAAACATACATACACTCACATAGACGCAATTGCTATGTAAATGTGCAATTATACACCCTTTACGTGAGTTCGAATACCAAGTGAGGTAAAATAGATCAAACATTTTTTTGTTAATATCTATAATTATTCTAAACATATGTATAGAGTATTGCAATGTCGGGACACCCGACTTTAGTTTTTTACTTGATTTTAACTTTCGTTTGACTGACAACTTCTCAGTTGTGCGGTTGTTTTGGATACTGTGTGTGAATTCTGGTGTTTTAAGTAAACATTTAGTAATTTGCTAATTTAATAATATTCACTGTGGCACCGAGGATTGGTTTTGAGGCGAAACTTGGGCGGAAGAGATTTCTGTGGCAACCCTGTATATATAAAATAGTTTGTATAATATATCTGCTTTTTCAACACATTGAGTAGATTTCTGTTTGATTAGTAATTCCAGAAGGAGATTTTGATTGCGCATCGTTTGTTGTATTGCTACCATTTTATTTGTTAGAGTTGCCAGAATTGATTCAATCCCACTAGGCAATTGGGATGGATTTTCAGTGGTATGTTGGGTAGTAGTTTCTGGCCCCTGTTGCGATGTCTGACGATTCATTATTCCTGAAGTGGTTTGTTTAGAGACAGGCGTACGACTCGTTGGTGTAACCTAACGCCTTAGCAAAAGATACTCCTGGAATCGTAGTTGATGGTATGTACGGCAAGCTTTGTTGGATGATTGGATTTCGAGCGGCGGATTTTTGTTGGCTTATTCGTCTTTTTAACTCTTTGTATACAGGGCAACCTCTATAGTTAGCAGTGTGGTTTCCGTTGTTTTCGAAATGCAATTTTAATAAGCTCAACAGATTAATTTCAGAAACTGATTGGTAATTTCTTATGAATCCGTTGACATTGAAATCGCGTCAACTTTTTTCTTTGAGACCTAGGAAATCTAGGTATTTTAAAAAGTTCAAGCAAAATGGATGTTATTTAGACTTTTCAAAATACTCTATATCCAAATCGAACTTTCTTCTCAATTCTTAGTGTTACACTGAGTATCTTGAGCGCTGTATAGCTCGATTTATTCAAGACCCTAAGCAGTTTTACAATTTTGTGAACTGGGAACGTAAATCGTCAGCTTTGCTTTCTTCTTGTTTTTCTTCATAATGAAAATTCATTATAATTATATTTTTTCACCCATAATTAGCAGTTCCTGCATTCTGCCAGGTATTAAGTCAGTCAAACCTTCGTACTCTCCTGGGCCAGACAACATTCCCAGTTGTGTGCTCAAGGAGTGTTCTACTTCCCTATGCTAACCATTGCTTAAGCTTTGCAATTTGTCGCTTGGCATTGCAGTTTTTCCAACTATTTGGAAAAATTCCTTCATTATTCCGCTAAGAAAAATAACGCATCCAAGATAACTAAAATAGCAAAATACACTGTGCCAACTGAGGTGCTGAAAAACAATAGATTATTACCTGAAAATGATAACGCTGAAACATCTAATGCCAAGCAACTAAAGCCGCCACTTATTTATGTGCGTCAGGCAAATTGTACAGAATTACTTAAAAAAAATCACTACAAAAATTGGCGGGGTAGCATAAATGAAACTAAAATACAAGTCAATGATGAAAACAGCTATCGATCACTGGTCAAATACTTCGACGATGAAAAGATGAACTACTACACCTACCAACTTAAAAGTAGCAAGGGATTACAAGTGGTTATCAAAGAAATCGAGCCAACAGTTCCAGTCAGCGAGATAAAAGATGGACTTAAAGATAAGGGCTTTAAAATCAAAATGGCAATGAACATAATAAATAGAAATAAAATTTCCCAACAAATGTTCAATGTAGAACTGACACCTGACTGTACGCCTATAAATAAAAACGAAGTTCACCCAATTTACAAGCTGCAATATCTACTGCACCGTAAAATCACCGTTTAGGAACCGCACAAACGAAATTGACCTGTGCAATGCACAAACTGCCAGGAATATGGACACACAAAAACCTATTGTTCCCTACGCGCAGTCTGTGTTGCCTGCGGGGATTTACATATCAATTAGGCCTGCCCTGTAAGTAAGGAGGACCCCTCTGCTAAAAAGTGTAGCAACTGTGGCGGAAACCACACTGCTAACTATACAGGTTGCCCTGTATACAAAGAGTTAAAAAGTCGAATAAGCCAACAAAAATCCGCCGCTCGAAATCCAATCATCCAACAAAGCTTGCCGTACATACCATCAACTACGATTCCAGGAGTATCTTTTGCTAAGGCGTTAGGTTACACCAACGAGTCGTACGCCTCAGTCTCTAAACAAACCACTTCAGGAATAATGAATCGTCAGACATCGCAACAGGGGCCAGAAACTACTACCCAACATACCACTGAAAATCCATCCCAATTGCCTAGTGGGATTGAATCAATTCTGGCAACTCTAACAAATACAATGGTAGCAATACAACAAACGATGCGCAATCAAAATCTCCTTCTGGAATTACTGATCAAACAGAAATCTACTCAATGTGTTGAAAAAGCAGATATATTATACAAACTATTTTATATATACAGGGTTGCCACAGAAATCTCTTCCGCCCAAGTTTCGCCTCAAAACCAATCCTCGGTGCCACAGTGAATATTATTAAATTAGCAAATTACTAAATGTTTACTTAAAACACCAGAATTCACACACAGTATCCAAAACAACCGCACAACTGAGAAGTTGTCAGTCAAACGAAAGTTAAAATCAAGTAAAAAACTAAAGTCGGGTGTCCCGACATTGCAATACTCTATACATATGTTTAGAATAATTATAGATATTAACAAAAAAATGTTTGATCTATTTTACCTCACTTGGTATTCGAACTCACGTAAAGGGTGTATAATTGCACATTTACATAGCAATTGCGTCTATGTGAGTGTATGTATGTTTATGCGCGTCTATTCGTGTCTGTGTAAGCATGTTTCTGCGTATTCACAAAAGGCATCTTGGACTAAAATTTGGTGTCCATAGGTCTTATAGTCTCCGAGATATTGGCGATTAACCGAATGGAAAATCGGGAAGAAATAAAAAAAAAAAAAACTTGCACAGCGTACACACATAACGCATCTTTGTGCAAAGTTTGGTGTCTCTACCTCTTAAAGTCTCTGAGATCCAGGTGTTCATACGGACAGACAGACAGACAGGGCTAGATCCGCTCGTCTTGTCACGCTGATCAAGAATATATAAGTATACTTTGTGGGGTCTGCCACGCCTCCTTCTACCTGTTACATTTTCAGCTCCCGCAAACCTAATATACTCTTGTACATTTTATGTGCAGAGTATAATAAAATATATATTTGACGCAATTCCTTTTCCAAATAATTGTATTAATTAAGTAATTAATTAATTATTAATTAATTATACTGTGTATTAATTAAACAAACATGGCGAAAATCTGTTAGCGAAAATGTGAATGGTCATAAACTGCCATTTGAATATACAATACGGACCAGGGAAACAAAATGTAAGTACATTTTTGTAATTTCTGAATTTAATTTCAAATTCTAATTTTTGCAAAACATAGATCGTCCAATTTATGGAAGTAATTGCGAAAAAATCGAAATGATGTTATAAAAAATGTAACATAAATTAAAATTTTAATAAGAAACATTGTTTTATCAGATGCGCTTCTTAAAAGTGTGTGTTGTATTTTCGACAATTAATTGGCGTTTTCGCAAATACTCGCGGGCTAATATTAATGCAAATGGCATATTTGTTTTCTATTTGTCATAGTACGTTACCGAATTTAAACACAATTAGTCGGTCAAAGGTACTCGTCGGCACATTGAAAGAGAGGGCCCTTTGGCAAAACAATTAAACAGTATTAAATAATCTTTCGGACCTATTCCTCATCTTAATTTTTACTAAATTGTATACTATTTCGCCGCAGGTTCTCCACCACTCAATTGATTATTTGATCGGAAACCTTGAAGATCAGCAAAGTATACGCATCTGCCATAAATTTGGATTTCAGAATCCAGACGACTTTTTGCATGCCACTAGAACGATATCAAAATACTTTGGAAACTCTTCTGAAAGTGCCATTAGTCATATGGCTCGTTTTAGTTCTCCCGAGCTAACTGGACTTTTGGCGACGGTAATAGCTGCACGTCATCCAGAGCTAATGGATTACCTCAAGCGATACGAATGCTCTAATGATCATCCCCTTATTGAATCATTCTTCTGGGACTTACGTTTAATTTTGGGCGACAATTTTAGTAGAAATACTCGCCAAGCAACGACATTTGTTTTGTACTGTCGTCAAACAAATACTAAACATAACAAATTGGTATTTGAGATGAATAAGAAACAAATTTGCAAATTCATCACCGTGTTAAATCAAGCTCTTGGTACCAAAAAAGATACTGATAAATAAATTACTGACTATGCTTCAAAAACTGAGCTTCATAAGAAACGTAAGTTACGTGTTAGTACGGAATAGTCGTGCTAGAACGTTGCCAACGGTGCTTTATTTTGTAGTCTTACATATGTAAGACTAAGTATAGTATAAAGAATAAGTTCTGTTGAGAGAGTCAGTCGTATTTTTTGTGCGCTCCTTAACTTTATTGTTTTTTGCGATACATCTTACTTTATATAACCCTAATTTGTAGAAATTTGTCGCCTAATCGGTAAGCCCGAGTTTTGTGTTCTGTGGTATCAATTGTGCACTGCAATTTTGTGTGTTATACTCATTTTAATTAAACAGCGTGACGCCTGTTTTTGGTGCTTGTGCCCTTTTTTTCTACGCTCTTTTTCGTGCTCCCTTTCTTAAACACAAGTGTGTTTGCTTGTGCTTTATTATTTTTGTGCATCACGCCCACGCACTTTGTTGTGTTTCGCTTTTGCTGCTGCCAGTATCCTCTCCCGTCTTTTCAGTCTGTTTGTCTTGTACTTTACACCGTTTTTAGCCAAAGTGGAAATTTCATATCTGTTTTTGAATATGGATTGCTGCAAAAAGTTGGCACTATTAAGGATGCTTATGATGTTGCTCAACCGCAGTATATTAGCTGCTGATTGTGTGACAATATGAGACATATTAAGTGTGCAGGGCTTACCGGTCGTGACCACGACAAGATGGTTGCTAAGGCCAAAAATGGTTGCGGCGGCTTGCAATGGTCATGCCCAGTATGTATTGATATGCAATTTGATTTTTCATACATACATATGTATAACAGCGTTAAAAACCAATTTGGAAAATTGCACAAGATTTCAAAAAAAACTTGCCAGCGTTTTCGATTTGGATATCGACTTGCTAAGGAAATATAAATTTGAGTCTCCAGGAAAACGCCGGTTGGACTCGCAATTTTTAAATGTTCCGCATCTATCCCTTCTAGCTCAACCTTGCCGCATTTGCCCCGGCAACTCCTCATTATGAGATTTGTTCTCCAGTTCTATCTCTGTCAGCTTCCCCTAATATATGGCTCCCCCGCCTTCTCCAATTGAAGTTTCATCGACGCTGGTTAACATTCCGCAGCGAACAATGAGAAATCAGTCTTGAGTACTGCTTCAAAAAGGTCCGCACGCGTTTCAGACTTAATGCCTAAATTGGCGGAAGTTGCAGCTTCTACTCCCAATCCTCCTACTCTCAAAGTCGTGGCCCCTCGGAAACAAGTGTTTGTATCGAGGTTATCCGCTGATACGACTTGCGAATCTATTAAAACTTATATCGCTAGCAAAACTTCTGCTAGTGTTTCAATTTCTAAATTTAATTTCTCTGAACCTCGCGAAATAGCGTAGTTCAAAATAAGCGTCTCCGTTGAACTGTTTCCTATTATTTGTGACCCTAAATTTTGGCCCCCTCATATGATTGTTCATGAGTTCAAACAGCTCCTGTTTCATTGCCTGTTGCCCCCTCTTCTCAACCTACCACTAGTAATGCCTCAATAAACTACACCATGTTTACGTTTCGCTTACTCTACATTACCAAAATGTTAGAGGTCTTTTATCTAAGCTTAAAAACTTATTTAAAGACAGCATAGCGTTCGAATCTGACATTATTTTATTTTCGGAAACATGGTTAAATATCTTTACCGTTTTTAGGCGCGATCGCCCAAATCGTCGAGGTGGTGGTGTACTGATCGCAGTCAAATCCACCCTTCGATCAGAACTTGTTTATGTAAATATGAATGCTGAAATAGAATTTATTGCGGTTAAAGTAGTTCTATTTTCGCATGCTGTATTTATCACTTGCTCTTATATTCCCCCTTCTGCTGATTTTCAAGTTTATATGCACCAAATAAATTGTATCAGCGAAGTCTCTTGATCTTCTTTACGGGATAATGCGCCGTCATTGTGGTCGGTGATTTCATCTGCCACATATTCCCTTGGCTTTTTTTAATGGCTGTAATCACCTTATTCCCTCATCACATCATGACTTTCTTGATTCTGTCTTTGAATTGTCTTTGGTTCAAATTAATTAAATTTTTAATAACCTAAAGATTGCTTGACCTCATTTTTGTAAACGAGGGCACAGATGCTGTAAGATCTAGATCTTCACCTCTATCCCCGAAGATCCGTATCACCCTACTATTGAAATCTCGATTTCTCTTTACGAAGCTAAAGGCTCTCCCTCATAAAATCATTGACTCATAAAAGTTCACGCCGTAGTTTTCGGAAAGGCGATTTTAATAAGCTCAACAGATTAATATCAGAAACTTATTGGTCATTTCTATACGAATCCGTTGACATATAAATCGCGTCTACTTTTTTCTATGAGACCATTCTCTCCCATTTTGATGTCTGCATTCCCTATAGCGTTCTACCATCTTCCTCAATTAAGCCTCCTCGGTTTAATCGGCAACTTTCCACTTTAAAGAATAGGAAATCTAGGTATTTTAAAAAGTTCAAGCAAACTGAATCTTGTTTGGACTTTTTAAAATACTCTATAGCCAAATCGAACATTCTTCTCAATTCTCAGTGTTACACTGAGTATCTTGAGCGCTGTAAAGCTCATTTTGAAAATGCAAGCAATGATTCAGCTATTGTTGACTTATTCGCTAAGTTTTTTCAGTCAACTTATTCATCTATTAGTTTTAATGGTGATTCATACCCTTACAAAATTCCTTATTCTAATTATATTTTTTCACCCATAATTAGCAGTTCCTGCATTCTGTCAGGTATTAAGGCAGTCAAATCTTCATACTCTCCTGTATGTATGTATATGCTCGTATATTCGTGTCTGAGTAAACATGTTAGCAGTCAACCAAACAGCAACATCAACAACAGCCGCGGGCAGCGCTTGGGCAGCGATGCAGCAGCAAATATATTTATGGCTATAACTTCTTGTTAAATCGTCTATCATAGTGAAACGTACGGATACATAATTACTAACTGGGGGTATCTACAAAATTTTAGTTCGAAATTCCAAGAATTACGGGAGTTAGAGAAAATCGCGATTTGCATGGGAGAGGGGGGAGGGAGGGAAATTCCAAAATATAAATTTTCTGCGTATTCACACTAGGCATCTGGGACTAAAATTTGGTGTCCGTAGGTCTTATAGTCTCCGAGATATAGGCGATTATACGAATGGAAAATCGGGAAAACCACCATAGGGGGGAAGTGGGGGGGGGGGGGGGGAAACAAAAAATAAAACAAACTCGTATAGAATACACACATAAGGCATCTTTGTGCAAAATTTGGTGTCTCTATCTCTTATAGTCTCTGAGATCTAGGTGATCATACGGACGGACAGACGGACAGGGCTAAATCGACTCGTCTCGTCATGCTGATCAAAAATATATATACTTTGTGGGGTCTGCCCGACAGTAAAATAGCCTGTACTCTCCACAACATTCCCAGTTGTGTGCTTAAGGAGTGTTCTACCTTCATATGCCAACCATTGCTGAAGCTTTTCAATTGGTCGCTTGACACTGCAGTTTTTCCAACTATTTGGAAAATCTCCTTTATTATTCCGCTCCACAAAAAATGATGTAAGGCAGACATTTCACACTATCGAGGTATCGCAAAGTTGTCCCCCATTCCTAAATTATTTGAAAAAATAATTACTTCCACTTTGCAGCATCTGTGTAAGTCGGTTATCTCCCCTATTTGCTGGAATTTACATCATTGATAAATGATGCATTCCTAGCTAAAATGCAAATTGATATTATTTATACTGACTTCAGTAAGGCATTTGATTCAGTGAATCACGACCTACTCCTGTTGAAGCTTGATCATATTGGGTTTCCTTCAAATTTAAATAGGACCCAGAGAGTACTACTCAGATCGGATATCTCTCAACCTGTTCGTATTACTTCGGGTATACCTCAAGGTAGTCATCTAGGCCCATTGTTATTCACTCTTTTTATAAACGATCTTAATTCTATCCTGTCACATTCTCACATACTGATGTGTGCTGATGATGTGAATCTCATTCTTCCATATAAGAATCCTCTCTTTCACACTCGTTTGCAAGATGATTTGAGCTGCATGCAGAGATGGTGCTTGGTTAACCAATACACCTTAACTGCTCCAAATGTAAGTTTATGTCCTTTTATCAGAGCAGACCTCATCTTGTCAGCTAAAGCCTCTCCCGATTGACAATGAATTATTGGAACGTATTTCTACTGTCGAAGATCTTGTTTGATTCTAAATTAAACTTCAATCTTCACATTTCTCACATCATAAACAAGGCTAAGTCCGTTCTTAGATTCGTTAAACGTTGGTCCAAAGAATTTGATGATCCCTATACCACTAAACTACTTTACAGTTCACTGGTACGGCCTATTCTAGAGTACTGCTCATGCGTTTGGTGTCCGCAGTACAAAAGGCATCAGGATCGAATTGAGTCTGTTCAGAAACAATTCCTTCTTTTTGCTCTTCGCGGTTTAAACTGGGATCCTAACCTTTCTATACCGCCTTACTCGAGCTGACTTCTGCTTATTAATGTTCCGTCATCGGAGGACGGTCCTTGGTGCTGTATTTCTCCACAAACTGATTGCCGGTAGTGTTGATTATACTTTCCTATTAGGTCGTCTTAATTTCTCAGTTCATTTGCACAAATACACACATATGTATATATGTGTGCTTTTATAGTCATTATTATAAATCCATACACTGTTGACATTGACAACATTGACATGTATATGTTCACTTTTAAATATTATTAGTACGTCATGCGATTTATATTTGTTTTAATTATGCTCAACTATCTACCGTATTAAATTATTTTTACGTACTTGTATGTATGTGCCAAACAAATAAGCAATTCGCTGGTTAAATTTTACTTCCAAGCGTTATCACAGTACCTGGAAATCGACTTTGGCTCCGAAACTTCCCTTTGGCCGACTTGACTCAACCCAGTGATCCAACGTAGGCAGCAACACAACACAACCGACGCGGTTCCGCAAAAATTAAAGTTTTTTTAACAAGCAAGTCCTTGCTTGGTCGCCAATGAAAATTTA